CTATCTGCTCTCGCTCCAAATCTTCTGCAACCCCCTGCATCCTAGTGGCTTCCCGCCTTGCTCGGGGCGTAATGCTTAAAAAAATGAAGAAAATATATATATATATATATATATATATATATACAATTTATTCGAAAATTATCAAATATATATGTTATAAAATCACTACCAAAATAGCCATTTTGCTTCAACACTTCTGGTGTCTTCTCAAGTGACGGTGTTGAATGTATAATAAAGAGTTTTAAAAGGTTCAAATCAATCAAACATCCCTCGCAAGGGGAAACGCTGTTACATAAGCTACAATCACCAATCAAAATACAAGTATATGAGAATTCAAAAAATTTGACAACAAACCTTGGTTATAATAATTAATGCCTAAATATTAGGTTTAGACTAAAATAGAAATCATTCTAACTAATTAATATTAAATTTGCGAATTTTTAATTTAATCTGTATAAGTTTAAAATATAAAATTATTTAAAGAAGAAACTGAAGAAAAATAGATATATTTTATTATTTATTTTGTTTTAATTGAAAGGCCAAAATCCCAGAATAAATGTTAATCCAATGGGGATGTAAAGCTTTGTTACAACTTATCTACAATTGAAGTGGTAATATGTGCACGGGAAAAGGAAGCATTATGCTTTTATACATATATTTTTGTCTGTGCGTCTGCGAGTGCGTAGGTAAATCAATAAGTTCGGATAACTGTATATTATTTGATGCGTCAAATATTTCTTTTGAACATCATCTACATCACCCTGACATAATACAGTGACATTTTCAGATCATATAAGAATTAATCTCTACGTTTCAGGCTACGTAGTTTTTTATCATCATTTCACGCCTACAGGATTTTAAAACTGAATGAGTGAGTGTCTGTGTGATAAAGAGTTGCGAGGAGGAGGGGGAGGAGGGGAGGGGGATGAGGAGGAGGGGGAGGTAAACACTTGAAGAAATAAAGATGTCAAATCCAATTTCATCTTGTAAATACTGACGGCTATAAATTGAAGTCAACACCCAGAGGCGACAGTCTGTTTCTTGCTAAACGCAATGGCCTGACGATTGTGTTTAAGCATGAAACAGACTGTCGCCTCTGGGCGTTGACTTCAATGTCCGATTTTATATTGATATGTATTTATTATCTTTGTTATTGTGACTGCAAGGACAACGCGGCAGTCTATCGCAAACGGGACTGGTCACAGCGGATTGAGTTTAGTGTGGGGAGGAACAACGTCAAAGGGGAGCCACTGCTGGATCCCCGGAGAGTATTGTTTCCTTCACTGGACTTAAAATTGGGCCCTATGAAACAGTTTTTCACGGCTCTAGGTAAGAAGTCTGAAGCCATCAAGTATCTTCAAGACTTCTTCCCTTAGCTGTCTACGTCAAAGGCCTGTATCTTCGTCGAACCGCAAATAAAGATCGTAGAGTACCAGGAATCCTCAGGCAGCTCACGAGGACGCAGCAAGCATCATGAAATAGCTTTGTTGCATTAACAATTTTTTTTTAAAATAAGGATTTTTTAATATAGAATTTGTACTATTTAACCCATAGTTAGGGGGAAAATGGAGTAATGCATTTTTCACAAAGTATTTGCGCGTAATTAAATGTAACGAACCAAATTGGAACCTCTCCGACCCAGATCACAAATATCATTTTATTTCTAATATAATACGGGGTCCAGTTTGTAATATAAATTCATCGTTAATTGATCCCCCTATGGAAGCCAAAAAATATGTGCTCATAATATTTGATTTGCAAAAATGGAGTTTTTTTTAACCCTTTAAGTCCTTCGTTCCTGAACAATTTTAACCCTTCTGCCCGAGCTCCTGAGTCAAAATTAGCAAATAATTGGTAAGTAATGTTTCACGATAGATATAAAAATACTTACAAGTGTTTACTCTCCGTTCAACCGGTAGCTGCGCATTACGTCATTTTTCTACACCACCGGTAAAGCGGCGGTCAGGCCTCAAAGGGTTAATTCGTATGGCTATATCTTCCCACAAGACTTATTCAATCTTACGTTGAGATGATCATGAGAGTGACCCATAGGTCCTGTCGGGATTTATTATTGACGGACATAATTATTTTTCGGATCTTTCACCCACTTCACCAAACCACAATGTCTAAAAATAAAAATTCAAATTTTAGTTCAATGAAACCTTCATCATTTCAAATTAAATTTCCTGCGTCAATTCCAACAATAACACCCAAAGTTTTTTCTGTTTCCCTCTGACGACGTAAGAACGTCTTCTTTCTGGCGCAAAAATAATACATAATTCTAGATTGGCATCCTTCTTTTTATTTATTTCGTAAAACAAATGAAGAAAAATTTCAGTACATCGTCTCTATCTCTATCTATAAAAGGCAGGATGTGTGTGTGTGTGTGTGTGTGTGTGTGTAACGAATGCACGGTCGCAATTTTCGACGGATTTGCACCAAAATTTACATGCACACGCGCCAAGTTAATGGCAAGGCCACGACAGACGTTGCATTTCCCAACTCCCATCGATAGTAGAAATAATCGATTTTTTACATGCTTCTACGGCAGTTTTCATGTAGTTTGCGGCCATTTTGTACTAGCCAAAGTGAGAACCAATAGCTGGCTGTCACGAATAGGCATGAAGATTCTATTGGCCAGCATGAGAGCCAACAGCTGTCTGACACGAATGTTAACTAGCATGCTAGCATGCAAAAAAAATCGATAGCTGCATTCGTCACAAGTGGGAAAAATTTAAATCTGCATGGGACTTTACACCAATTGGTTCATTCGCTTGCTTAAACTCAACGTTGATTCTGATTCCGCAGAACTGGGTTGGGTGTGAAAAAGTATTTGTTGTTAACATTCTTTTTTCATTCGGTTTTTTCCAGTTACGAGTCCTTTTTTAAAGCTGATCGTTTTGTGTTCATTTTGTTTAGTTCTTAACAGATTTAATGTTTAGTATGGAGCTTAGAAAAAATTCGCAGTGTGAGATAGGCAAGAAGTAAGGCATGTAGCAATATGAGCACGGCAAAGCGCACTCCTTTAAAGGCAAGGAAGGGCAAAAATATTTTAAGTCAAGTGATAGCGATTGCTATATGAGTCGTACAATTTTTTAATCAAGCACGGGCAACGCCGAGCTATGCTGCTAGTCTATAATACGAAGACGATAAAACCAACAGGGAAAAAAAAACAAAAAAAAAACAGCAACCTAAACGAATGTCAGAAGACAAATAATTTCGCGCTTGATCTAGCAAGCAACATTCAAATGAGGGATCTAGTTATTTTGAGAAAGCTTTGAACGTGGGCCGGATAAGGATGACCAGTTTTCAGGAGTTTTCTTCCGCGAGAAAAACAGCAAGGAAATAAGGACTGGACATATGTGAAGAACCTTTGGCCATTTCTTTGCAGTTCAAGTTGACCTTTGCCAGAAACCAATTTTACGAAGTAGCCAATTAGGGTAGACAATGTTTATTGAGAAAGAGACTACGAAACTGGACGAGGAAGACCGATGTTAGACGATTAGCAACGAAGAAGACGGAAATGGTTCAAAATGGAGTGAATGAAATATGAGGCAAATGAAGAAGAGGAAGAACTCAAAATAGGAGGAAAAAGGAAAGGAAAAGTGAAGGAAAAGTAAAAAAGAAAGATGAAAAAAGAAAAAGAAAAATAGTGAAGAAGAAAGGAAAAAGAAGAAATAAAAAAGAAGAAGGAAGAAGAAAGAAAAAATGGAAGAAGAAGAAGAAGAAGAAAGTAAAAGAAAGAAAAAGGATAAGGAAGAAGAAAAGAAAAAGAAGAAAGAAAAAAGAAGAGGAAAGAAGAAAAGAGGAAGAAGAAAAAATCAAAAGAAAAAAGAAGACAGAAAGATCAAAGAAGAAGAAGGAAAAAGAAAAAGAAGAAAGAAAAAGAAAAACAAGATGACAAAGAACGAATAAAGAAGAAAAAGAAGCACTTGAGAAAAACTCGAGTAACTGAATGAATGAAAAATGACGACAAGGAATGAAAAAGAAAAAAAGTCAATTAAAAATGACCAGAGAAAGAAGAAAAAAGAAAAAAAAAGAAGAGGAAAGTGAAGAAAGCAGGGAAAGAAAATGAAGAAAATTAAGTAAATCAAAAAAAGAAAAAGGAGAATAAAGGAGAAAGATGAAAAGTAAAAAAAAAAATATAGACAAGCAGCATTGGAATAAGAAATAAAAAAAAGAAATAAAGAATAAGAAATAAAAGAATAAGAAATAAAAAAGAAGAGATGGTGGGAAAGAAAAGTAAAAGAAAAGAAAGAAAGAAAGAAATACTAGATTAGAAGAAAAGGATGAGGATGATGAGGATGAAGGACTGAATTAAAGTAAAAAGAATAAATTAAAATAGAAACAATACGAGGATTCCGTGGCATGCGTCTCAAATAACTTCTGACAACTAAATCCAGCCCCAAGCCGGAGAATAGTCAAAGGCGGACAACTGGCGCCTCATAACCAGCTGTTTCGGGTAGATGGCGTTCCACAGCCCAGGATGATAGTCCATCTTGAAAACATTGATTTTAAACCTCCACTGCCTTACGGTTATATCCAACCAAACACGGAAAAGTCTATGGAAATACCCAGACAGAAATGTTGATCCCCGAATACGGATGGCTGTCAACACTGACAACTTTCTGGCACACACTTGTAGTTAAACCGACCCCAAATGCCACGCCTTGTATTCCGTCGGATTTTGTCGGTACGGTCAAGAGAGCGTGGTATGTAGTCTGGGCAGCGCATGGACAATATATATACCATCGACCAGGCCTCCACCCAAGAGAGGTCACTCCAGTATCACCATCAAAAGACAGAATGTTGACCAAACCTTTATCACGCTAGATAACCGGTTGCCTACTATTATAGGGATGTGGATAAAAACAACTCATTTCAAGTCTTATTTCTCTTTGAACGAAATACGAAGTAATCAAGAGAAATGGAAAATTAAATAAAGAGAACACCTGTAGACAAAAAAAGTCTATAATAAAAAAGGGAGAATTAAGACTAACGCAGGAGGACGAAACGAAAAAAAAAAAAAAGAAGAAATATAGGAAAAGGAAGAGAAAAAGAGTGAAGAAAAAAAGCAATGAATAAAAAGAAGGTAAAAAAATATTCGGAGACAAAATAGAAAACACAAAAACAAAACAAAAAAATAAACCTACAAAGTAAAAACAAAATACAGGTAAAACCAAAAAATTAATAAACAAAGATTAATTTGCAGATTAACACCCGCGCTCAGTTTGCATTAAAAAAAAATAAAGAATATTTACATTTAGGTGTAAATTTACATGCTTCATTCGAAAATGACTTGATAAGTTTGATAAAATCTACCGTTTTGGAGTTATCGACAGTAAAAGTTCGGATTGATTTGCGTCGTTGGCGGCAGCCATTACTGGCGTTGTTTGCATACATTCGCTGCGGAAAGCTACGCGCGGAAGAACGTAGTTAACGGCCTTATTTTTTATTAATCTTACACGTCTCAATTACTGCGCAAGATAACTACATTGCGTGCGTAGTAATCAAGACAAGTGAATATGCCACTCATACCTGTTCCGCAGCAAAGGTATGCAAACATCGTCAGTAATGGCTGCCGCGACGAGAATGAATCCGAACCTTTTACTGTCGATAATTCCAAAACGGTAGATTTAATCAAATTTATCAAGTCATTTTCGGATGAAGCATGTACATTTACACATAAATGTAAATATTCAGAAAGAATTTATTGCAAATTGAACGCGGGTCCCAATCTGCAAATTAACTTAAACAAAGAAAAAAAATACATATGGAGAATTAAGAAAAGTAAAAAAAAATAAGATACATATAGAAAGCTACAACGAAGAGAAAGTGAACAGAAAAAAATGTATGAAGATATGAAACAGTCATTCGGATGTCAAATGAATGTAAGGAAAGCAGACAAGAAGAAAGGTCAGACCAATAGGCCGACAGCAAACAGAAATAGCAAAAGTGGCATTTCAGTATAGCGTAATCGTTAGCGTGTTGATCTAGCTATTACTGCTTATACGTATTCTATATTTAAATAAGACCAGTAGAATACACTCCATTCTAAATTGAATATAGCTTCAGTTAAGTTGTACCAGCATTTGTTTTCTCACGACACTACGTTATATTGAGTTCTACTCTCACTTATACACGTGGCCTTGTGCTGAACCCTCTTAAGCGTAGTAAACAAGGCCAGACACGAGGAAAGGGGAAATAAAAGAGAGAGGGTGATATTTAAGAAAGGAGACTTAGAGAAAGAAAGAAAAGAGGTCAGATGTCAAAATAAGGAATCAACATAGAAATAAATAGAATGAAAAGAAAGTGGTTACAAATAAAATAAAAAGAAAAGCAGGAGATGAATAAATAAAAGTCAGTGAATGACAGTTTAAATAAATAATAGACCGTAAATAAATAAACAATTAAATGAAGAAGAAATACGAAGAGAAGCCATATTAACGATGAAAGAGGAAAAGAACGCGTACAAGATACACCAGACGAGTTTAAAAAGAAAATGCTGCAAAGAATATGAAGAGAAAGAAAACGGAAATAAATAGAAAAAAAATGTAAGGAAAGTAAAAGAGAAAGACAGGAATAGAAAAAAATAAATTTAAAAAAAAAAAAAGAAAGATGGCGGTTATGATCTGAGTAAATAAATCAAAAGTTTTGTCCTACGTTTAGTTTTTCTATTTCCGTTGAACGAAAACGAACACAGATCGAGGAACCGCTGGGCCGAGAGGACAGGCGAGGTCCTCGCGACAGCATAAATCAAAGCCGGCGAAATACTTACTGTCGAGCTTACAGCCTCTATATCCGTTCTGGCCCAGCGTTAGAGTGTTGCAGGGGAAGAAGGGAATCTCCGAGGTCCAAGAAAGTAATATCTTAGAGAGAACAAACGGACCAATCGATCGTTGTCATGGTGAGGTAGGGCAGGCAGCAGAGGACGTGGAGATACCGAGGCTGGGCGCATGCGCCAAAACCTCTTAATTACGAAGCGATGTGATATTGTCCGACACGAACGTGAGTCAATGTGCCAAGTATGTCAGAGTACGCGTGGAGGAGTTCGTTGCTTGAGGTGGGTGGGGTGAGATGAAAGGAAGAAGAGATTTGGGTGCAATGGTGTGCGTGAGAAATTGGTGGCTGGCTTGAAATTGACAAAGTAGATGCTAGTAGACTAAACTTGCAGGCTCTGTTTGCATGGACAGAAAAGAGGAAATCGTATACGAATCCACTCTATCGTGTCCGGCGCTGTGGACGTTAACTATCAGCGCCCAAATCCTGTTTGCTTTCTTGCTTTATTTTTTATTTCTTTTTTTTGTTGTTCTATTTCTTTCTTCCTTTTTCTTTCTTTCTTTCTTTCTTTCTTGCTTTCTTTGCTGTCATTCTTTCTTTCTTTCATACTTTCTTGCTTTCTTTCTTTCTTTGCTGTCATTCATTCTTTCTCTCTTTCTTTCTTTTTTCTTTCTTTCTTTCTTTGCTGTCATTCTTTCTTGCTTGCTTGCTTGCTTTCTTTCTTTCCTGTCATTCTTTCTTTCTTTCTTTCTTTCTTTCTTTCTTTCTTTCTTTCTTTCAGCCATTCTTTCTTTCTTTCTTTGCTGTCATTCTTTCTTTCTTTCTTGCTTGCTTTCTTTCTTTCCTGTCATTCTTTCTTGCTTTCTTTCCTTTTTCTTTGCTGCGATTCTTTCTTTCTTTCTTTGCTGTCATTCTTTCTTTCTTTCTTTCTTTCTTTGCTGCCATTCTTTCTTTCTTTCTTTCTTTCTTTCTTTCTTTCTTTCTTTGCTGTCATTCTTTCTTTCTTTCTTTCTTTCTTTCTTTCTTTCTTTCTTTCTTTGCTGCCATTCTTTCTTTCTTTCTTTCTTTCTTTCTTTGCTGCCATTCTTTCTTTTTTTCTTTCTTTGCTGTCATTCTTTCTTTCTTTCTTTCTTTCTTTCTTTCTTTCTTTCTTGCTTTCTTTTTTTGCTGTCATTCTTTCTTTCTTTCTTTCTTGCTTTCTTTCTTTGCTGTCATTCTTTCTTTCTTTCTTTCTTTCTTTCATTGCTGCCATTCTTTCTTTCTTTCTTTCTTTCTTTCTTTGCTGCCATTCTTTCTTTCTTTCTTTTCTGTCATTCTTTCTTTCTCTCTTTATTTCTTTGCTTGCTTGCTTTCTTTCTTTGCAGTCATTCTTTCTTTCTCTCTTTCTTTTTTCTATCTTTCTTTCTCTCTTACTTTCTTTGATTGATTTCTTTCTTTTCTATCTTTCTTTCTCCCTTTCTTTCTTTGCAATCCTTCTTTTTTTCTGTCTGTCTGGGTCTCTCTTTCTGTGTTTACTTGCTTTCTTTCTTTGCTGTCTTTCTTTCTACCTTTCTTTCTTTTCTGTCTTTCTTTTTCTCTGTCTCTCTCTCTTTCTGTGTTTATTTGCTTTCTTTCTTTGCTGTCTTTCTTTCTTTATCTCTTTCATTCGATACTTGCTTGCTTTCTTTCTTTTCTATCTTTGTTTCTCTCTTTTTTTTCTTTCCTTTCTATACTTGTTTGGTATCTTTCTTTTCTTTCTCTCTTTCGCTCTTTCTTTGCTATCTCTTTTTTTCTCCCTTTTTTCTTTGCTATCTTTCTTTCTCTCTTTCTTTCTATACGTCCTTGCTTTCTTTCTTTTCTATCATTCTTTCTTTCTCTCTTTTTTTCTTAGCTATCATTCTTTCTTTTTCTTTCTTTCCTTGCTTTCTTTCTCTCTTTCTTTTCTATCGTTATTTTTATCTTTCTTTCATTGTTATCTTTCTTTCTCTCTTTCTTTTTATACTTGTTTGCTTTCTTTTCTGTCGTTCTTTCTTTTTCTCTTTCTTTTTTGTTATATTTCTTTCTTTCCTTTTTCTTTCTTTCTTTGCTATATTTCTTTCTAATCCTTTGCTATATTTCTTTCTTTCTTTCTTCCACTTTTTCTTCCTTTACTATCTTTCTGTCTCGCTTTCTTTCTTTGATTGTTTGCTTTCTTTCTTTGCTGTCTTCTCTTCTCTCTTTCTTTCTTTGCTATCTTCCTTCCTTCCTTTCTCTCTCTCTCTCTTTCTTTGCTTTCTTTCATTCTTTCTTTCTTGCTCTTTCTATTCCGTCATTTTTCTTTCTTTCTCTTTTTAACTTTATCCGTATTTATAATTTCAATTTCCACCCCACCCCCGCCTCTCGTCTTTTCTTTTTTTCTTTATTTTCTTATTTACTTCTTGGATTTTTTTCTTTCTGTTTTTTTTTTTTTTTTTTGTTTGTCTTTTTCTTTTCATTCTCAGATATTTCTGACATTTTTCTAATATTAAAAGTAAGATTGTTGGGGCGCACCCACCTTCTAACTAGTAATGGACTGGTCCCTCTTATATAAGTCAGCTCTGGAGAGAGAGTGACAGAACGTCTGAGAGAGCGTCAGGGTTAGCAGTCCAGATAAGCTTACCCGGTACATACCGTTGGACTATAGACTTTGGATATTGTTTCGTACAAACCAACCTTCGTTCTACTAATCACTCTATTGTTAATTGCTTTTATGAATATACCAGTATTTTCCTCTACAACTGTGTTTGTCTTGATTCATACACCGATACGCGGGAAACTCACAACATCTCAACAAAGATCCTTTTTAATTTTTTAACTGTTATTGAACAAAAATAAATGACCGTAGTCTAAGAAAATTGATAATTATTATCACATCAAAACAATTTGTTATGATTAACAAACTGTTTAAGATGTTCAAAATTCCCCCCTTCATGTTCAATAAAAAAAAATTCTGAACCCTATTCGCAATACTTCTATAGTAATTTCAGTAAATTTATCAAAAATGACTTGTTTTAATTCAGAAATTGTTTTTTGTTTGAGCTTATAAAAAAATCCCTTCAGGACACCCACAAGAAAAGTTATGGTGGTGTTATTTCTAGTGATCGTAATGGTCACTCAAATGCTCCATATCGAACTATCCACCTGTTGTAGTATACCTACGACCGTTAATGGGTGTATCTCTATTCACATAAATGCAGTAGTAGATACTGTATGTTAGTCTGCAATTGGAGATTTGTCTCCAGCTGTTCTGGTCAGACTCTCTGCCTCCGAGCAGAGAGGATCTTCAGACGAGGCGATGTCGAATGGCACAGTCTCGTCTCGGGAAACAGCTACCCGACCTCGTTTTTTACGGGTCTACGGAGAAATTTTGGCCAAGCTTACGGGCTCGGATAACCCACATTACATTCTACTTTGTGACACATCTGACCACGTGGGGCGGTTCGTAGCTATCCTACAGTTGAAGATTCATCTCCAGCTGTGCTGGTCAAATTCTCTGCCTCCGAACACAGAAGATACCCAGACGAGGTGATGTCGAAGGGCAGAGTCTCGTCTTGGGACCCGTTTTATACGGTGTCTACGGGGAATTTTTGGTCGAGCCTACAGACTTGGATACCCCACATTAAATTCGGCCTTGTGCTACATATGACCGCGTGCGACGATTGGTAGATATCCTGCAGTTGGAGATTCATTGTGAAATATACTTGACTCACTTCTAACAGTTGACTACTTCTACGCGCCCGTTGGCGAATCTTATATGTGTTGTTCTTGTTCTAAGTATTATCGTTCATTACTAGCCTTCGTGTGATTATTCTATTCAGTAAACATACTTAGCTTACAACACCACCTCGAAAAAAAGGTACGTTACTTTTGCTGCATGATGCATATATTTTCTAATCTCTTCCGCAACTCCGTCCTGGGTATGACGATATACTACATTCGCGTCCTGGGTAAGACAATAAACTACATCCAGAAACAAAGCCCCTCATTATGAGGTTTTGAGGAGCGTGGAACCACCTCTTAATTGAAGTGTTCCCAGGTCAACCCTGACCCGGGATGATAGCAGCTGTTATGGTCCCAGGTATTGGTAAATAGTTAACCCCAAACTGGTGTCAAAACACTATGAAAGTTTAAAAATAGGTTTTAATACCAGCAATACATTTCTGTAAAAGATTATTACAAGTAATGAATTTTTGAAGAGAAAAATTATTACCTGCTATACATCATTGAAAAAAATTATTACTAGCAATAAAAATCTTGTTGGCATTAAATATCCCATTGAGGTTGATAAACCGTAAAACAAAAGAGAAACAAACCAAACCAATCACCCGCAAGTCATTTCCAAAAAATGAAGCTTAAATAATAGCGAAACATGTTAAATTTATAATAGTTTGCTATTTGTTCTTTATTCTATAATTCTGTCGAAATTTAATCTACATTTGATTCCAGTTCTGAGGTATTTGTCTGATTTTGTTCTAGATTAAAGAATCAAAAATTGCTGAATTTTCCATTCGGTTTCAAGCCGCGAAAATATCTGCTGAGATTCAGTTTAATCTTTTACTTTCATTAGCAAGTCACTTACAGTTCAAAGCACGTTTAGAAACCTGTTTTTTCTCGTGTTTTCGAGATAATAAAAGAAAATAAATAAGAAAGACAAACCCGGAGGTAAGTAATGAAATAGAAGATTTACTACACGAATGTACACTTAGCAATTGACATGATACTAACTTGGTATATACCCGAACTTCACACAGAACGGAATTTGGCACAAGACCGGTTTTACGTGGGTTTTTCCGAACCTGTAAGGCCAGGTAAAAATTCCCCGTAGACTCTGTAGTAACGGTGTCGGTTCTGTCTACAGCCCCTGAAGAGACTCTGACCTTCGGCATGGCTTTATCTAGGTTCCTCTCTGCTCGGGGAGTTGATGTACAGAGTTACCTAATTCTAACTCTGCTCAACTCCGCTTATTGACATAGACGGACGATTCCATTCGTTTACGTCCTCTACGACAAAACGAACTCGAAAACAATGGTAGATCCACAAATTATTGGCTACTTCTCTTGATTTTATCAGGACATAAGGGATCATAACACTCTGTAGTTTATTTTTATTTGTTGAATATCCATAAACTAGGTTTTCTATAACAGTTCATTGGAAAATATTATTGTGGGTTACTGAGCAGTCTTCATGATTTTTAATAGTCCTTCTATGATGGTTGCAAACCAAAAAGAAATACCATAATCTACCCTGTTCGTAAGTAGATCCAAAATGTGTCGTAGCAGGGAAATTACCAGTCCATAGACTACCAAATAAAGTACGAGGTCAAAGTGTACAAGTAAGATCATAGGAATCGAAAAGCCTTTTAAAGTCTATATTTCTCGAACGTTTTCGACAGCGTTTGGTATACAGCTCTTTTCCACAAGCTGAAATGTTACGGTGTCTCCTGACAAATTTTAGAACTCATCTATGAGAGTTTTCCGATCCAAAAGTACTGCTATATCTTCATTAATATTTCTAGTATTTACTCAGCGTTTTTTTTTTTTAATTTTTATTAGAATCGAAATTTTTTAAAGTTTATATTTCTCGAAATTTTTCGACAGCACTTGGCATACAAGTCTTTTCCCCCCGCTGAAAAGTTACGGCTTCCCCTGACAAATCTTAAAACTCATCCAGTGTTCCCTATGAAATCGTGAAATGAAAGTCGTCCTGAACGGTCACCCGTCTACTAATACAGGTTTCCTTAGTCCTAATTTCTTTTTAGTTTTCATTAATGACCTTCTCAATAATATCAGCTCTCAACTTGGTATCGAATATGATGACACAATCATTTACCCCTGCATCAACAGTAAATCTGATTCGTTTCATAAGCTCAAATTAGCAGCTGATATCTAAAAAGGACCTTCAGTCTGTTGTTACCTGTGGCAGAGTTAAGTTCAAGTTATCCAAAACAAAACTGCCCTCTGTTAATAATCTGAAAGACCCCTTCCTGCCTTCCATCAGAATGGCTGATGCTAACCACCAGGAAATTGACTAGTTGCGCCTTCTCGGGCTAACATCCTCAACTGACATGAAGTGGATAGACTATACTGAATCCATTGCTAGATCAGCTGCTAAGAAAGTTGGTTCACTGTGTCGTTCAAGACATTTTTTCTCTCCAGAATTTATCTTACATATCTATAAGTCTACCATTCGTCCATGCTTAGAATATTGCTGGTACACATGGTCTCGTCCGCCTGCTGTTTATCTAGAGCTCATTGATAAAATCCAAGGAAGAATCAGCAATATTTTGGGTTCTGATCTGGCATCTCGTCTTAAGTACGTTTCCCACCACCGTAAGAGCGCCTTTCTGTGCCCTTTTTATAAATATTTTCATGGTAATTGTTCCGATAAGGTTTTCGCTGTGATATCTATACTCTTTTAATTTAAGTGCAGTACTAAACTGGCGTTAAGATCTCATCAGATTAAAGTTGAGCTGGCTAGATGTAACCGTAAGTTCTATGCTAGCAGGTTCTTTTCCCGCATTTCTCGTTTGTGGAACTCTCTTCCGGCTCCATATTTTCCAGCCAACTTTAATCTTCAAATATAAATGCAATGCCAGTCGCTCCCCTCCTGATTACTCTCTTTTTTTGTACTCGTACCTTAGTAACGTTTCTATTTTCTAATTCTTCCAAACCCAGTAACCTCTTGTGTCTTAATTGCTTTAGTTCCTTGCATGGGGTGAACTCGATTAAAAAGTGTTGTAACCTAGGAAGGGTTACTGAATGAGAAATAACCAAAACGGAGGCTGGAAATGAAAATTGTAATCTTTATAACATTAACAAAATACAATACTCGCCAGCGGCGTGAAGTAGGTAAACCACTACTAGTGGTGAACTACTTAGACATCATATTGAGATTTATTGACAAAATACACAATTACGGCACAAGGCCAAAAAAAGGGGAGGGGTTAAGGCTGTTCGTCACTAACTATCTTATACCTAGCTAATACGATTCACGACCCATTCACGCATTGCAATTTTCGCATTCACCATAAAAACTCGCCCGTCACCAATCAATCCTCCATAGACCCTAATACCGCATCCTCTCAAGGGGGACCTACAAAACGCGCCCCATGCCATAAAAATTTAATGATAATAAATAATTATATTTAAAAATATATGAAGAAAAATGAGAGGGGAGAGAATGAACCCCAAAACAAACTAAACATGAACACAAAGTAAACTAAATATAATTGATGTTAGTAGGGACCGTCCAACCCTCAACACTTATATATCATATTATCCTCACTTACAATAGTGTCTAACGTATTTATGAGAATTGGGACATACCCATTAGTGTTCATAGGTAGGGTATATAACGAAAAGAAACTTATAAAAGATATACCAGGCTTCATATAATTATTTTACTTACTTTCTATCATTCAATTCTTGAGAAGTTATCTGGGTTTCGTTTGCCCTGCGAAAGACGAGTTAATGAATGTCCCGATTTTACGCAGAGGAAGGTAGTAAAAAAAAAAAAAAAAAAACAGAAGTAAAGAAAAATTCAACAAAAATATATTTCCCGCCATAATTTGATCTATAAAGCGCCACATGGGACTTCCTTTCAGCTCGTGAAGAAAAAAGAACTCTAGCTCATCTTACACAATAAATAAACTGCAGCTTCTTGCTTTCGACCGACGAGCTAGGAACGGCTATCAGTATTGAAATTAACAGGCACGTGACTTTTGCTTGCTTGCTTTTTTTCTTTCTTTCTTTCTTTCTTTCTTTCTTTCTTTCTTTCTTTCTTTCTTTCTTTCTCTTTTCAGTCTCATATTTCTGTCGTTTTCTTTTTTCTTTCTTTCTTTCTTTCTTTCTTTTTTCAACTTCATCCACCTTTGTTCTATTTCTTTCTTTCGGCCATTCTTTGATTTTTCCCTTTTCTTCTTTCTATACCTCTTTGCTCCTTTTTGTATTTGTTCTTTCTTTCTTTCTTTCTTTCTTTCTTTCTTTTCTTTCTTTCTTTCTTTCTTTTGTTTATAATTTTCTTCTCTTTCTCATATAAGCCTGTTTTTTTTTTCTAATAGACAGATTACTAGAAAAGTAACGCGCTTTTTTATTTAACTTTTATTGAACAAAAAATAAATTGCGGTAGTTTAAGAAAAACTGAACAAAAAATTCAGCACTTTAAGAAAAAGAATTCTAGCTCGTCTTACACAATAAAAAAAGCTGTAAAAATATACACATATATACATATGCGTGTGTATACAAATTTCAGATAGAGTATATCTGTACACGGACAATATAATTAAAAACAACAGGAAAAAAACATATTTTAGCCGACGCGTTTCGTCCACAGAATACTAATTTACATACAAAAATTCATAAATATCACTTACTTAGTTTCGTTTATTAGAAATTGAATTGTGTCACTTCGTGTCCTCCATAGTTAGTCCGACTATTCAGCTCGTATGATGAAGATTAAAGAGCGTTCCTAAACTTAAAAGTATTGAAAAACGAATAACATTTTTAGTCTTGAATATAAATACTTCTTACAGAAGAAAATTTTTGCATTTGCCTTGATAATCACCCTCAGAGAACGAAACGCGTCGTCCGATAAGATAGATTTTCCTTTTATCTTTATCCCCCAATATATATATATATATATATATATATATATATATATATATATATATATATATATAGTAAAAAAAGTTTCGCACAGCGAGGAATCAGACAGTGATCAGGTTTTTTGTTAACTATATAATTTCCACCAGAAATACACCGTCTACAAAAACATCTGTCGGTGAGTAATTCCCATTTCTTTGTTTATTTATCGGTCCGTTGATGAAGGACACAGGCGTGTCCGAAAATTTCGAAATTAAACCCCTTCTCTCCGTGCTTCATTTCTGTCATATTGTTAATAATTAATATTTAATAAATTTCTATCATATATCGGTATCGTTTCGTTTGTCCTCGTTTTATTAGCTAAACTATTTTACGCATATATATATATGTGTGTGTGTGTGTGTGTGTCAGAGAGAGAGTAGGAGAGTGCATGTGTGTGTGCATTATCAAGTTATGTTACACACACATGCATCAGAGAGGGCTGCTGAAAAACAAAAGCATGTATGAATGTAATGTCTTCATAATAAACGATGTCTAAAACAGATCATTAGGAATTGATCTTTTTTGGATTTTGATGGCAAACACACAAAGGATACTACAGCACTTCCTAGACTTATGAGTAAGGCAAAACTCTTTATGGGTCAGTTAATGTGGAAATTTATATTTTTTGGGAACGTTGAAGGAGTAAAAATATGATATATCATATTCTCCATGGGTTAATTAATGCCGAAATCGAGATATTTTGAACACAATTATATGACTTCAATTAAATATATTTTGAATGTAATTGTATGCCTTTTAGCGATCTCATCGAGGTACATATCACAGCAAACTGAGTGAAAGAGGAATCATTTTCACTCTTGACTATTTTGTTTTAGTTCCACTTAGAAAAAGAACTAACAATTGGAGATGTCAAAATCAAACAACTACAGAAGTTAAAAACGAATGGGAGTTCGTTGATTGATTAGTTGGTTTTGTTTAGCGGCATATCAACAACTCTATGGGTCATTTAATGCCGAAATCTAAATATTTTGAACACAATTTCATGACTTCAACTCAATATATTTTGAATGTAATTGTATGCCTTCAACTACAGATAAAATGTATTTTTGGTCATTTCGTTATAAAATGTATTACTGGTAATTCTATTAAAAATTGCACTGCTGGTAAACTGTAAAAACTGTATTGGTAATTTTAATATAAATAGGTATTTTGGTAAAAATGTATTACTGATAATTTTACTATAAAAATAGTATGCTTTCTTATGCTTTCCTAATGTTTGATTTTTTTTTGGGGGGGTCACTATTTGCCCATAGCTAGGACCTTAACAAGGGCTACCATCTCTGGTCATGGTGGACCTGGGAACAACTACAAAAACCTCCTCAAAACCTCCAGTCTTTTAATCAGAGCCCTTGCTGTCCGATGTAATTCATAATAGTACCCAAGACTGATAGATTCCAAAAGCTAAGCAATGTATTAAGAACAAATGCATTGATAAGGAGAAAACCGAAGACAACAGAAATGTGGTTCTACAGAAGGATGCTGAGAATACCATGGACGGAGCATATAAGCAAGGAAGAAGTTTTAAGGAAAAATGAAAACAATAAAAAGAAACCCATATTCCGAATCAGAAAGAGATAACATTTCTGGGACACATGATGTGCAAGTGAGAGATTATAAAATTTGACATTCACAGAACATATTGAAAGAAAGAGACAGAGGAAAGCAGCAGAACCCCTACCTGGCGAACCCCTACCTGGAATAGCAAATTGAGAAACTTTGCTAAGAATTACAGGGGTGTTATAACCTAAGAAAAGTTACTGAATAAAATAATCAAACGAAGTTTTGTAATGAATGATAATACTTAGAACAAGAACAACACATATAAGATTCTCCAGCGGCGCATAGAAGAAGTCAAATAAATTCTCTTCAACATTCAGTGAGGTTACTGTATAGGACAGTGTTGTAACCTAGGGAAGGTTACTGAATAGAATAATCACACGAAAGTTGGTAATGAACGATAATACTTAGGACAAGAACAACACATATAAGATTCGCCAGCGGCGCGTAGAAGAAGTCGTCAGTTGTTAGAAGTAAGTCAGGAGAATTCCACAATGAATCTCTAACTGCAAACCAACATACAGTATTTATGTGAATGGGGACATACCCATTATCGTCTGTAGGTATGCTACAACAATATATATATATATATATATATATATATATTAAATAAAAACAGACCGCTTTAAGGTTCCATGAAATAAATTATTTAACCACAGCCCTTTTAAAAGGACTGCGGATCATCAGACTTTACTTCCAAACCTAATTATATATATATATATATATATATATATATATATATATATATATATATATATATATACATATGAAAATATATAGAAAATAGGAAGGAACTGGTTAGGTAAATAATCCAAAGTCCCTTAGTATTTTAGTTATTATTTTTTTTTTTTAAAGTGCACGATACAAAAGTAGAGCATAAATATAATTATGCGAAATTTTTGGATTCCCAAAAAAATTCGCTTGAAGATGAAACAGAGCTTACTTTAACTCAATTTAATTTAAATAATTATATTGAAGTTTTCCGCTCTTGTTTTTGGAACATGAGACTTCTTATGTCGCGATTTGGAATCATATTTTTAAATAAATAAATAATTATATATATATATATATATATATATATATATATATATATATATATATATAATTGTATATTTGAGTCAAGTGAATTCTACAATAAATCTCCAAATGCAGACAATATCTACCAACTGTCCCACGCAGTCAGATGAGGCCCAAGGCCGAATTAAATGTGAGGTTCCCGATCCCGGAAGCGCGGCCAAAAATTCCCCGTAGACCCCGTAAAAAAACGCGGTCGGGTAGCTCTTTCCCGAGACATGACTCTGCCCTTCGACATAGCTTCGTCTGGGGTTCCTCTCTGCCCGGTGGCAGAGTGTTTGTACAGCACAGCTGGAGACGAATCTCTGACTGTCGACTAACATACAGTATATACTACTGTATTTATGCGAATGGGGACATAGAAATTATCGTCCGTAAGTATGCCACAATAAAGGGATGAAAAGTGTGGGGAGACATCATTACCCACGATCTGAAGGGACACGGCACATAGAAGATGAAACCATTTCTGGCTGTCTCCAGTTCGTCGTATGATAGGCTTCCGAGATGCTTATGTTAAAATTGAATTTTACAGAAACAGGTAAATAAAATAAAATAAAAGACTCCTTCGAGGAAATATCTATCTATCCTTATACATTAAAATATATTTTCTTTAAAAAAAAATACTAATAGCAAAAAAATTGAAATCTTACACTTATAGCAAGATGCTGAAAACCTGCTCAATACAAAAGTGTCAATTAGTTCGCCATAGCTGCCGAAGTCTGTGGAGAATATTAATGCATTCGGCGGGGGAGGAGCGTATTCAACAAAAACTCGAAAATTGCTTTTTTTTCACTGCAAATTATTCACTATATTATATCCAAAAAATATAGAGGCAGTTACACAATATTCCAAGTTCAATTTAGGTTTATAGTTTGTAACCATGCAATGAGATAAGGTAACATAAACTGTCTGCGGAATATCATTACCTTATTATTACATAATTATAGTGAAATCATTAAGGTTTTGTGGGAACACCATTTTATTTTTTGTCGTATATTAATTTAAAATATTCGTTTTTACATGCTTTATTTTTTAAATGAAATAAGATCATTTGAAATTTCAGAATTTTGCTATTGCCTATCAAAATGACTGGAAGAACGCGATCTAAAAAACAACAATGGAAAAAAGAGTAACAATGCGTAAGCGAAACAACTCCAGTTTGTTCAACTCAGCATTCCAGCCAAAGTATTCTAAAATGCTGCCAATAAAGAAAGAAGAAAATGAGAAGTACCTAACAACAAATCAAATATAGCATCAAAATTCATATTATTTTTATTTATTAGTTATGTAACTAAATAGATTATTGTCAACAAGTTTTCCATAAAACTTGATATTTCCTGTAATAACTTCTTAATAAATATTATTAGTTATTATTTTACTTAAGCGTAAGGTAGTCCTACATTTACAATTCCTTACAGCTAACCACGAAAAGAAATGTTGATTAAAACTGCATAAAACCATTAAGCGCGTATTGCCGCAGAATTATCAATTGTAGAATATGCCTGTTATGAATAATCAAGAGTGGTTTCCCTTTGTTTTGTTACTCTCCTCTTTGAGAGAGCTATTTCTGTTTATTGGGATTATAAAAGGACACTATATTCGAACATTGTATTTTCAGTTGAATAAAGATTTCTTAAAGCCTACACCTTCGTACTTTAGTCATTACAATGCTTCTCCACCGCCAAACGCGTCATAAAATGCTTTACTTTCGTAGCGTCTAGTGCAAATTTTAGTATATTGGTA